TTTATCTAAACCATTTCCTGATAATATTAATAAATTAAGAATAATTTTTATCCGTACTCGAGATTCCACGTAGAATTTTCAGGAAATTCTCAGAAGCAAGCCAAAACCATTTTTGCTTATTGTAATATTATAGCAAGCGTCTAAATCGCATTGCAGTTTGAATTGTGAACAGGCTGCGTAATTTACATAAAAACAAGGATAACAGAAAATTATCTTAATCGTTTTTATATAAGCAGAACATATACGGTGTAAAACTAGCATGAGCTTGTCGTAGAAACAGTAGCTCACGTACGTACTTGAACAGCACCCAAATAATGTAGTAGCACGCGTAAATCGAGGAGAACAGAACGAGTAGAAACACTGTTAGCAGGTACCAGGGGGTGTGCTTTTGTTGCCTCTTCGTATCCTCCCAATATCTGTCGCAGCTAAGGTACCAACATATTGCGCGATTTAGCTCGCCTAAGTGGGAAAGAAGCATAAACAAATTGCAAGAAGTACAGAATAACACGAATAGATAAAAATATCATAATCTAATCAGTCAATAAAAAAATTATTTTATAAATGACTGTTCTCAATTTTGAGAAATTAAATTGTTTTATTTTTAAACCAGCGTTAATGGTAATGATTTTATTATATGATGCAATTCTAATTTCGTACCTTCAATTTCCTGGAAATCTCGTACCGAGAGATTCGTCAAAAGCCCAGCAATGCAATCTCGAACGAGTATCTATCGATAGCATCGAAAGATCAATATTACTCCAATATAAAATAAATGGGTTATAACAGGTGCGTGTTATTTCAATCTGTGCTATTATCTACGCGACTATTTCTACGATCTTGCTCCATCAACTGTGTTGTTATTCTACGAATTATTAGATCGTTATCATTGAAAGCGATATTCGTTGGGTCTGGAAAGTGATTCTGGATTATCCATAGTTACATTGCTTCTATTCACAAATCAAGCTAACAATAAGTAAATGCCAGCAAGTATGCTGCAAGCTGCTACAGAATTACTTGGAGCGATACACGATGACCCAAGCCGCTTACGAGAAACAGTACAATTTGTAGAACAATTTTACATACTCGAATCGCGGTTTGTAATCTTCGAGTTCCATAGAGAACAGAGAACTGAACTATTCACGAATTCGACTGATCACGAAAAGTATGGACTACTTCGTTCAGACGTCCTTGCAATTATTCATGTTGCTCGATTAAATTCGTCAATTTCATCGAACCATCATCAAATCAGACCCATCGTCTTTCTACCATGTTCTCATGAAGCGAACTAACTTCGCACTGCAACTTCAACTTCTGCAGTTCTTCTGGCTTGCAATTGGCCTTCAGCTTTCTCAAGTGCAACCCTTTGCGCCTCTGCTTCTTGTCGACGGCCGGTAGAGCCGCTTCCACGAGATTCTCTTCATCATCCTCATCGTCTTCTTCATCCTCGTCGTCTTCGTTACCGCCGCAGGCATTGCTCTTGTTGTCCGGACCAGCGATCTCCACGTGGTACGCCGCACCCGGCAGACGATGGTTCTCCAATGCCCCGTTGTCCTCTCGATGGCAATATTGCTGAATATTAGTGACAGCCCCACCGCCGGATATCGTACAAGCCTTCTCGACCGGATACGTCCTAGGGAAGCTGGCTCGCGACTCGCAGGGCAGCACAGAAGTGGAACGTTGCTCTGTGTTCTCCTTCCAAACTTGTATGTCGGTGCTGTGGTGGTCGGCCTCGTCGTCCACCAGGGAACTTTCGAAGTCCCTGTTACCCAGCACGTCGCACCTCATGATGTCGCAGTAGTCCGCGAGGCATACCGCGTCTTCCGCCTGGCCTCCAACCATGGGATGCATTTACAATTAAGTTGGCACGCATCTTACGGTATTTCAACTTGTTTGCGTTAACCAGAGAAAATAGAAGGTGTCCAACAAGATTGACAATCAATCATAAGTAGGTACGTGTTTTTCATAACGGCAAATCAATTCTTTTATTTGGCTTGCGATATAATGAGATACTAGTATCAAGAACGAGCAGACTGCGGGTATTTATGTAAACATTTTTAATGTCTTTAAAATTAGTTTGACTTTTTCACCTTCAATTTTACGCCATGCGTATCTTTAAGAGGAAGAGGACTTACCGTGTTAACATTACTTTTGTGTCTGTTATCGAAGTGTGCATCCAAATGTTTCTCTGCATAAAATGACTTGCCGCACAGGCCGCAGGTCCATTGCGACGGCCTGTGCTGGTGTTTCGCCCTTTGCTGGGGCCGAAATATGTCCCGGCTCTCGTGAAACGGACACTCTAGCGGTAGTTCTACCTGATACTTCTTCAGAATTGGTATCCATCTCTGAAATCTCGACAAAATTGTAGAAATTCACCATTTTCACTAATTCTCTATTTCTCTATTTAGAAATCGCGACCTATAAGTTAAGCGTTACGAATGTTCGATAAAAATTTGCCGTACCTTCTGCACTATCCTCCTCACCACAGACGCTCGATCACGGGGACATGATATTTTAAACACGCTGGGGCCTGGCCAGGGGATCACGGATAACAGTAACACTATCAGGACCTGCGAAATGCAAAACACACGTTCCTTCTTTCTGTCTCTTTGCAACTGAGAAAACGAACAAGTCGTAGAATCATCGTCGTTCGGTTCTGCGGAAAACACAACGACTTGCATGCTAGTAGTAACGGTAATTGTTTCGACATTGTACAATCTGTTTGCCCTAGATTTCTGGCATTGCTCTCTCTGCTCGCGTTCCGCATCGAATATTTATTACCGTGCAAAACGTATTCTGTGCAAAACCATATCTCTGCTGTTTATTGACATTTTGCATCTAAGAAGAAAAAATGTTCACGCACTCGAATCGTTTTAGTCATCGTTCCTCCGCCCCGTACAACAAATCCCCGACAAAATCCGATAGCTCGACGTCCGTATGATCTCGAAGGGTGGAAAAAATTGATTCGCAATGACGCAATCTCGCTGACGTGACGAACAGACGATGACCATTCCGCCTGTCTATATAACAAACACGCTTGTCAACTGGAATTTTAAATTTCTCTCAATTACCTCGAAATGAAAGGGTTGGGTCTTCATTCATAGCCCAGATTCGCCAAGCGACGGTGACCTGGTGCGAAACGGAACTTCGCGACGCGGTGAGAGTTAGCGACACGAAAATCACCGTTCGACGCGAAAAATACTTGTGAGTCGGGATTCACGGTCAACTGGGGACGTAACGGGGGTTGCTACGTGGACGAACTATAGGGGTGAACGTCGACACGGCGTCGTCGTCACCTTTGATAACAGGGGTGAATTTTGTGTGGGTGCTAAACCGCCCACTTGAACAAGCGATGGATTATCTCGCTGTTGAATTTTTTTTCAAAAACAGTATTCAAAACATTCACTCGTGTCATATCAGATCATGTAATCATTATCATTTTCCTTGAAGAACATAATGCAATAACAGTTTTGGAATTTGGAACGTCAGAGAAAAAATATTTTTGCAATTTTTTAGTGAACTGTTTAAAGATAATTGGGATGTATAATTAGAAAAAATGATTCACTTTTATCATTACTTATCAAATATATGTAATTGCGTAGTTCAGTTCACGGAAATCAGCGTGATTCGTTTCATAGCTATCTATCGTGAATTTATTCTGCTATCATTTCTTTATATCGAATAGCCAGATTAAACGTTGCAATACGATAGTATAAAGTGCATTCTGGAAGCGAACTATATTAAATGATTTTACATATTAATAAAACTTTGATTATCATCAATATATGAATTTGAACAGGCTATTGCATTCTAAATTTAAATATCCAAAAAAATTAATTTGTCTAAGATTTTTCCGTCACGTGTTTTGATGACTCTCGTTATCTTACGGACCTGCACGCGTTGCAACGTCGGAGTCGGCGTCGATGTTGGCGCGCCGACGCATCGATGTAACGCAACGCGCCGCAACGCCGACGCGCCGCGATACCGTACTGGGCGCAATCGTTTGAATTGAGCGCAGTGAGCATCGTGAGGAATGTTCGAAAAAAAAATGATGATTGTATATCCATTGACGTACATCACAAATGACCGGGTCATTGACGACTCAGCCGCGTTTAAATCGATGACGCCTGTACTTTCTCGCAAAACAAATATCACGAACTGAAGTCGAGGTTCAATCCACAGGGTGTCCGTTTTGTCGACGAACGATAAATAACGGTGGGAATGAAATTCTGTTCGCCAGATGGCAAGAGGGAAATACTTTTTGTTCGAACTTTTTCGTACAAGTTGCCTTTTTTTCGTTGCTTTAATAATTTTGAACGGAAAAACAAGGAAGCGCGGAATGTTTTATTTTTGCGCTCGAAATGGACTACGAGTTAAAGCGGCATCAATTATGTAATGTGCGCGGAAAATTTAGCGTGCGTCCAGTTATGTAACTTTATACACGGAGATAAAACAAAAAACAGCAATACGTAAATATTTAGAAGTACAATCACAATTAGAGAATATGTAAATCGGTGAAGTTAAATAAACACGTAATTATAGTGAGCAATTTGTTACTTTATTCTATCCTAAGTACAATAATACATTATTATTTGTTTCGCCTTAAAATAAATAATAAAATAATAATGATTATATCAGTTAAACCAATCATTACGTTCCGTTGCATTTCCTGAAAAGTGGGTATAATCGTAGTTCTATATTGCAGTAACGAAAATAATTATCGCGAAGGATACTGATTAAACAATAATAAATACTGCTTCAGTTGTAATATAATCAAGTATATTTCACTGAATTCACCGAGGTGGAAAACTTCGATCCCCCTAGCAAATTAATTGATCACAATGAATCAAACGCATACACGTCCAGCCACGTAACAGTTCTTCTACAACGAGAGAGCAAGTCACCGCGTCGATTAGACGGTACAAAGTATGCATGCGTTAATATTTGCAGCTGCACGCGGATCCGTTCGCCGCAATCGTGTACGCTCGGTTCGTTTGTCACACACGAATAGCCCCGTCGTCCTCGGGAATGCGAAATCCTCTCTTCGTGAGCACCTTGTACACGCCTCTTTTGCAAGCGTGGGACTCCTCTGGTGGGGGAATGGTATCTACAGCCGAGCAGAAGTTAAATGGTTTGCCAGAGAATCCCGTAGTCTGTCAGTGAAAACAGTTAGGGGAACAAGGTTCACTGGTGCCTGGTTCATAGTACATTCTGAATACTCAAGTTCCCTCGCGTCAAGAAAAACCGGGACTCGAGTTCGAGGCATCGTTCGCGCTCGAACGGAGGATCGGACGAACGCTTAAAACTGCGCAGCGCGTTGCATACGAGAAGAGATATATCCGTACGCAAAGGTTCGCAACATCATTTTTAGTTTTTCACCGCGATACGTTCGTTATGAGTGAATTCTTATCGACGGTCCAATTAATCGGGTATCGTAATTTGTCTCGACGTGCAATTCGACTTTCACTCAAAGGTACACTCGCGTGCACGTACGATAATTATTTTTTTCTCTTCTTCCATCAACCGGTTTTCTCAGCCGCTTTCACGGCGATCGAAATGGAACAGAACTTTCGAAAGCAACAGGTTGAAATGATCGCCTATCGGAAAAATCGATACCTGTAGAGAAATTAGAGAACGTCGAGGGCGTTTTCATCCCGCCTGGGAAATCATAATTGTTTCTACGCTGCATGAATATTAATAACCGATCAACAGACAGTCTCTGTTTTGTTCCTTATCAATCTGTTTTATCCGTAAGAAATTAATTGCGCCAGTTTGATTGATCGCAGTTGACATTTACTACGCGTGTTCATGTTCCGCGGATTTATCGCGACGCCCGCATCCGTCTCATTCATGATAGCGAACGATAACTTGGAAACCAGCGAACCGGTCAAGCGGTAAAGAGGCTGACACCCACGACGACGGTATCGAGGATCCCTCTTCGGCAGTGGAAAACCGTGCCTCTTTCTGTTTGCTTGTCTATTCCTTCGCGTTGACGTCACTGTCTGCAGCTTGTACGTGTGTGCCGTCATTCCGCGGAAACGTATTTACGTAGAACGTTATTTAAGGCCATTGCACCCATACTAGCGTCGTTGCCTGCCCCGTCCCGAATACAGAGTGCAATCTGCGGAGACCCCATTGGCGCGTGCCCGATTCCTTTTCCCGAAGTCTTGATCCTCTCTGATCGCGTTAATTCCCATCGATTTATTGTACGATACCTCCCGCGCGTCTTCACTCATTACAGACGTTTATAAACACTTGATGAGTATTCGATTTTTTTCCAATTCATGAAATGTATTTGTATTTAGATTGATGTCTGTGAACGGTCGCACAAGTGATTGATGTCTATTCGGTTGACTCTTGTACTGTCTGCTACGATAATAAGGTGTGTGTATTTACATACGAGCGAGATAATATCCCGTCGTGATGAGCCAATATCGATAAGTGGTAGGAAACGTACTTTGAACTGTTATTGTTGACTGACAATTCGTCGTCTCGATGACTAAGCTTTCTTCTGATTCGTAGCATACAATTCAGTCAGCCGGCTCCGATAAACGCTCTCTCGTGCGTCGCGTCCTGTCATTCGCCGCTCTCGCTACGACCGGTGCATGTGCATATTCGATTGGCATAACACCACAACGCGATCCGGGATCATCTATTCCGTTCAACTGAGTTAGCCTTGGCATAATTATAATAACAGTATCGATACCGATAACAAATTACTGAAATATCTCGGTACGTTATTGTATTCCGTCAAATAAGAGTCATTAACTGTTGATAAATTGATTAAACCGTATCCGGAGTGTGCACTTTGCAATTACTATATTATTAAAGTTATAAATATTGTCTCACGTAGTTACAAGATAGTTAGCTGGGTAGTTATGTAACTTCACCGCGTTATCGGCGAACCCGATTCTATCTCTCACATTGCTTATCCTTTTATGTCTTCGTTTGCTTTGCACGAGCCCAGTTGGCCTACATCGAGTCGCGTGTACTGTTCCGTGTTATTAAAATGCATCGTTCAACTGTTGCCTTCACATTGAAACAAATATTCATTCTTAGCATGTTGTATTTTTATTTTCAGAATCCGGTGATTGTCGTCTAATTACTAGGAGATCAAAACTTGTAAGGACGACGACGACGACGACGACGACGACAATAACAGAGACTGGAAAATATACAAGCAGTAGTATTAAACAAGTAGAAAAGGATGACCACCGTCAGACAAATACTTCGCTGCGCTCGGCGCATCGGGCAAATACAGGAGGGTGGGGCGAAACTTTTAAACCGGTCTGTTAGGTGCGCGTCCACCCAAGCACGACAAAAAATCACCGAGGATGAAAACGGAAAAAAAGTTTTCCTTTCGCCATACGGCGACTTCACGCCGTCCGATTTACTCGTACAGGAGTACATTTGGAAGGACTTGGCGAATCATGCTAATAAGATTGCATTGGTAATTTCGCACGGCTATTCATCTGATACTTTTATTTCATGCGAAAAAGTTTACGATGACATCGGGAACGAGTAGTTATACATAAATTTATTTGTATCGTAACAGAAAAAAATAGCTAAATGCATACAATTAAGAAATTTAGCATAAAGGACATTGTCAACTTACACTTCTTGGTGTATACGTTCCGCTATATTTGAATTACAAATGCACTCGCTGTCATCGTGTTTTTCTTCTTGCTCTAATGAGAAAATTTCTTGAACCCCATGTAAAAATGAATTATTCAAAATAACCGTCTGACCTCTCGCATTGTTTGACGTTTCGCGCTGCATAATTGAAAACGATGCGGGACAAAATACGAATAAGTGTCTATGTACATGACGTACTCCAATGCAATCGATGCTACTGTTTTAGGAGTGTGCGGTGACCGGAAGGAAGTATACGTACAGCGAAACGAGGGATGCGTCTAATTATATCGCGAGAAGTTTGATAAACATGGGTCTGAGAAAGGGCGATGTGATAGCCCTGATCGCGCCCAATTATCCGGAAACGGTCTTAGCCTTTCTCGGCGTGTTAGAGGCAAACCTCGTCGTTACTACAGTCAATCCGGCTTATACACCTGGTACGAATGACATGTATATTTATTGTTTGTCTCTCACCTTACAGACGTTCTTCGTATAATTAAGTCGCGCGTCCGACCGTTTCAAACTGACAAGGGGTCAGTGTAATACTAAAGCCACACACAACCCCATACATGATTGAATGACAAACTCGAAGCCTTACGTATATGTTTACACGTTTCTCAAATTTTTTTTAGATGTATTTAGTAAATTAGTATTTGATTGCATTGTGCTTTTACTGATAGCAGTTGCAATTTATTGTAATAATTGAAAATTATTTGCTGACATGTTTTGAGCAGATGAAGTAAAAAGGCAGATACAGAACTCGGGGGCGAAGGCGATCATTACAGTGGCAGAAATTGCACGATCCATACTCGAAGCCACGAGAGGCACTCTACCACCTGGAGTACCCTTTGTAGTTATCGAGGATGGTACTGGACCCATACCAGAAGCCACCATACCGTTTAAGGTGAGGACGAAAATTGATCGGGCCTGTCGTTTAACTGAACGTGCAATCGATTAACCGAACGATCGTTACTAATTGGATTGGAATTTTTTCAGGACCTCATCGCCCGTGGCAAATCGTTGCCACCCGTAACGAGTTACCAAACGACCTCCCAAGATTTGGCGATTCTTCCTTATTCCAGTGGAACCACCGGTTTGCCGAAAGGCGTCATGTTAACGCACAAGAACTTAGTAGCCAACATGGAAATGTCCGAAAAAACGGCAGGAGAAAAGATGTGGCAAAGTGCAACGAGTAAGTAATTATTGTATTGCGATAAGTTGACCTCCTCAGACACGTAATAAGCTCGTGTACGTTTACAGGCGATTTCCAGGAAATAATACCAGTAATTTTGCCGTTCTTCCATATATTCGGCATGAACGTGGTAACTTTACCACGTCTTGCTCATGGAACAAAACTAATTACCTTACCCAGGTTCATACCGGAACTATTTATTAAGCTTCTAATGAAAGAGCAGGTGAGACTTCCTTCTGAATAATAATAACTTTTATTTTTTCAACAGAATATCTGAAGATATTTTGTTCGCAGGTAACGGGGATGTTTGTGGTACCACCAATACTCTTATTCTTCAACTCATCTCCTTATGTAAAAAAAGAACTGTTATCGAACGTACATCACATTATTAGTGGGGCAGCCCCAATGTCGAAGACAGACGCAGAGAGATTTTATAACAAATTCGAAACGGATCCCAGCAAGTTGAAGATAACTCAAGGTAAAAGAAGCAATAATTACGTTATCGTACGCGTTTGCAGTATTTTTATTTAATCGATGTTTTATGTAATCTGAAATGCAGCATACGTATGTTATTACGTTCGAAGTATTTATTAATATGAAGCAAAGTCCAAAACATTTTTTCTCTGTCTGTTCGAAGGATACGGATTGACTGAGACTTCGCCGGTTGTTTGCTTGGAGATGGATGGTGTGAAGACAGGAAGCATCGGTAAAAATATCGCCGGATGCGAGCTGCGGTTAGTAGATCCGGCAACCAACGAAGATGTTTCCGGACCTGGCCAAACCGGTGAAATATGGGTCAGGGGGCCTCACGTTATGAAAGGGTACTTGAACAACGAAGCTGCTACCAGGGAGACGATCGTCGAGAACAGCTGGTTGAAGACTGGTGACATCGCTTACTTCGACGAGGAGTTCGACTTCTTCGTCACGGACCGTTTGAAGGAGTTGATTAAAGTGAAAGGATTCCAGGTAAACGATTCGACCGATCTTTCGCTTTTGCCATTACTTCCTTAATTAACGGAACTCATAAATTACAATGTAAAGTGATATGATAATTGCGCAGGTGCCAAGGTTCACAAGTATTTAATGCTTTTTATAAAAATAATATATGTATACATATAAACAGCTTGTTTTTATCTTGGGTCTTTGACAACATTTTACTTTTAGTTATCGTTATATATTATTTAAATTTAAGACGAACATGATTGATGATATAATGAGTTTCGTTAAGTATAGATAAAGTGTTTTTACATTAGTTCGAGTTAACCACATTCAGCTATGTAATAAACATTTCCAATTATTCAGCTTCTTTATAAACTTTGTTCTAAAAATTAAATTTACGAAAATTTGACATTAGGTCGCGCCAGCGGAGTTGGAAGCACTTCTAAGAACGCATCCGGATGTTCAGGAAGCAGCCGTGATTGGAATCCCAGACGAAAGAAGCGGTGAAGTACCTAAGGCCTTCATATTGCTCAAGAAAAACGCCAAATCAAGCGCGGAAGATATTAAGAATTTCATAAAGGGAAAGGTGTCGGACTACAAGGAGCTACAAGGTGAGATGTTTTTTCTACCTTTTAATCTTAACCAAAACGAGCGTTGCTCTATGGACTGTATGGACTTTGCTCCCGTAGCGTCACATGTTACAGTGTACGTGGAAATCGGCTGAGTTATTTTTTGTATGTATATGGACATAACGCATGAGCGTAGCAAGTTTTTTAAGGCAATTCGCACTGCTCGTTTAAATTTATATCTATTTAGATTAGCGGCTTTTTAATTTTTTATACAAATTATAGATCGTTTATTTACGCGTTTCTAAAAGGGAATTTATTTGTATTTGTAATTGCTATTGGAACTGTGTGATACGGAGGTGCTGCGTTTCAAATAAAATGTATTGTGCTTGAATAAAGAAACAAATTTGTGATTTCAGGAGGAGTTGTGTTCGTGGATAACATACCGAAGAATGCGAGCGGTAAAATCGTGCGACAACAACTGAAGAACGAGTGTAAATAATGAAATTCCGTTTTCATAGAAATGGAACTGGAATCTTGCGTGAAATTCTCGATTAACAGTTCATAAAATGAAATCAATTACCGATTAATGAATGTTGAACGCAATCAATCATTTCTGAAAAATTGATTGTTGCGACGCATACCATTATTCGGCTGTTATCTCAGGAGAAACAGCAGGAAGTGATAACAAACGTTAAACAACGATCGCGTACTTTATGTCAGATCTCTTATCATGGATACTTGCATGAAAGTCTTGAGCGCTGATTTGTTTTTAACTTAGAGAATATTTTCTCTTGCCGCGGAATTGATGTTTATATTTTAAGTACAGTTCGAAGGGAACTGTAACGTTAGAGTAATATTCTACTTAAAAGGACGACGACGGGAAAAGAGTTTATGGTGGTTTTTATACCATATGATATATTTCTTATCAATTTATATGATGGTGCTATCTTTGTCAATGCAATTAATTTTTAAGGCACATATCTTATGTAGTGGAGTTTAAGGATAGGAAATTTTTGTAAGTGATTTGTATCTGAGAGTAACTTGTTCGAAACAATAAAAGGATTTACAATTGCGTTACAGAAATAATATCCAATTATTTTTATTCGGATTCGCGGCACATTGAACACCTTTTATTTTAAGGAATGAGGTCGCCAGCGTTCTTCGTCTCTCCCTACGACGAATACGTAGGAACAATGATGTACTTGAAGGATGTTACAATTTTATGGTCGACGTAAATGAAGCTTTACAGCCAAGCTTTCTTCGATCCTGTCCTAGGTAAAGCCAGCACTCTAGATAAATCGTTGCGTTTCACGAAAACAGTTACTATTCGTGTTAGAGAGAAAAACGGATTCAATGTCAGTTTCGCCAGCGCCATATATTCGTGCGTCAAAAATATTCTTCAGTGCAAACAGTAATAAATCTGTAATTTTAGTTAAATATAAAACAAACGCGATGCGCTGTATTATGAAATTTCTCCACTTTTTCCTACGCATTGTATTCAAATTCGAATGCTTTTCTGTTTATAAATCCTCTACTCTTGTCTACAATTTCTGTATAAAAGTCTTTCATTAGCATTGCTAGTTTACGAGTAATTTACGAAAAACGGAAAAACAGTTTTTTGCAAATTACTCGTAAACTATTGACGCTAGCGAAAAGCTTTTATACAGAAATTATAGATCTCGTCGCCCTCTATAAGAAAGATCTTATGCAATTTTCCCGTATCTCCAACGGTTTCGAAGTTATTGGCAAAAAACGAAAATTTCACAAAATCTGAAGGGGTACCCCTTGGAAAAATCTCAGAAAAATAAAAATTTTTTTTTTGTCAAAATATCCAAATATATCGAAATATATTCTTCTTCAAAAATTCCAGACTTCTTAGGCTTGTATTTCCTCAAATCAGTTGTTTCTTCGACCCTATACATCCTTAAGATACCATAAAGTTAACGAGTAAATGAATTAAAATTTTACAAACGCACAGTTGGTACATTGACTGGTCGCGCTTCTCGCATTTCATGTTCAATAAATGAAAATGCTGTTAGCTAACTGGAAATGGACGCGAATAAATCAAACGGTTTCAAATGAAATTAAACCGGAAACTCTTCTCTTTTGACACAGAGCGGTGGTCATGTTGGCCGGGGGACGCTGCAAAGATGAAAAATAGTGACGAACAGGCTGCACCCAGCGTGATACCCATTTCTTCTCGCCCTCTATTTCTCAGGCTGCTTCTTTTTTCTCTCCTTCGTTCTTTTTATTCTCTCGACACTGTAGTGACGTAGTCACGCTCTACTAACGACGGACGCTCTCGTTTCGCGTTCGACAGCAGTTGAAAACTTCATCATGCTTTTCGCATTCGTTGCTGGAGACACAATAATACGATCCACTGTTTTTACACACGATGAAAATCGTTTATGAAACAAATTTTATTAGTTTATGAAAACCGGTATGAAACGCCGGTTAGAAGAAAGGAGTGAATAGCGGAGTTTCTACAAAATCGAAGGAATAGGAGTTTGAGTACATTCCCTTCGTCCCCTAAAGATTCGAACTCGTCTCATCGTCTGCATGTATACTATAGGTAACGCACTCTCCTAAGGGAATTAGGTGCAAGCTTTCGCGGTTGAAGAGGTCGTTCTTCTGGGAACTTTGTCGCGGTCGGAGAGAAGTTACTAGTTGAATCGCTTCAGGAGCTGTGTTCGACGTTTTACGCAGTGCAAAGCACCGTCAGGCAGACTTGCGTTAAAAGAGTTATCTCTTTGCGACAATGCTTGTCGCCGTATCTCCGAGTGAAAACTTCGCCGAGCTTCGTAACGCGTTCTCAACCTTATTCGCGAAAAGGATAGAATTAAAGTCATTTAAACAAGTATACGTGAAATACTCCGAGCTGCATAAAACAGAAAATCTTAAGAGCTTCTGCTAATCAGGAATCTTCAATTTCAGACGCAATTCAATCGAGATGAACGCTGCTCGCTTAACTCGACGGGAAAAAGGTTCGTTTAAGCGTTCGACTTTGGTGACTGTGCTGCTGCTGCTGCTGCTGCTGCTAGTAGTGGATAAATTTATTTTAAGTGTTCTTCTGATGGAAACGTTCGATTCGGCCTGTTCAGTTCAAAGGAGTAATAGCGTGGAGGATCTCGTTGAGCAAGTGTTCTCGTTTGCGGTAAGAATTCATTTCTCCGGCTCCTTCTCCTCTTGTTCCTTTTCTTTTTAAAGACCCACGCATGGCCCTGTTGTATCAATGGCGTGGCGGTCGAGAAATGGGAAGCGTAGATAGGAGCAAACGTGAGAAGAAACGAGGTTTCCGGGCGCATATGAAATGCGCCACCGAAAGATGCGAAAAAACCATCCGTCACTGGTTTTATTTTCGCAAGAGCGCACAGCAGATGTTGCCACCGACCCCGGCTTTTATTAAAGTTCAACCTCTCGGTTTTGTTATTTCTGTTTTCATTCTCAAATGAAACTTCATCGGCTGAAATTTTTTAAAGTTTAGACGGTGGAGTTCCTAATAAGAATTAAAAGACCTTTAACTTCTAAATGTACATAATTTTGTTAAAAAAGTTTTAGTAACTGAGTATGACTTATGTATATGACGTGAACTTTGAGGTCGTTAATATCTGAGTGGAACATTTATGTCCTCCTCGTAACTAAGAATCGAAGAATCAATTTCAGAGGCCATTAAAATCTGCCAGTTAATTCTCTCGCTCCGGAGATCATAGATCACATCCGTTTAATGTAGATAGTACATGGGTGACTAATAAAATCTATGATTGGGATTGTTCTCCGTACGTTGTTCGATCTCGATTTGTAAGAAGGGTCAATTAGATTTTGAGTGAAAAGGGGGTTAAAAAGGGGCTAGATCGAGCGTGGTACGTTGGAAACGAGTTCTTTCGCTCGGGAATCGCTTTGAGGAGCGGCGTGTCGACGCGACGCGGTCCGCTTTGAACGGGAAAAACGCTCGTGAACAGAGACAGAGAGCAAAGAAAATAGAAAAAGCGGCAACCTCTGTACGAGACTCGGCTCCCTCGAGGGTTAAAGTCGAAAAGAGTGCAGGGTCGAAGGCTAGCGAAAAAGGACGAGGCCAGAGGAAGCGGGCAGAATTGAATTCGCCCGCGCCGGAAACGGGAATTACGACACACGATGCCATTATTAATTTACGGGGATCAAAGGCGATGCCACGCGAACCTAATTAGTCGGACACGAACCGCGGTTAGTTCCGATTTCGGTTTCGATTGGACCGAATATATATATTCTTAGGATCTAACGTGTAAAAATAGAATCAATTTCGAATTTTCAAACATCCGCTTTCAAAAGTTCCGTTTTAGCGTTTTGCGAATTACTAAGATTTCTCGAACGGGTTTCAGTAGATTTCCTATAGTTTAACCAGAACTTCGATGATAAAAAACCTATTACACAAGCAATGAACATGTTATTAAGTTTTTAATTTTCAATTCAGGCTATGCTATCATGTGCATAAAATGGGACAAAAATTGTATACAGTAATTTCCATGACGATTACGAGAATTTGGTGCGAGGTTCAAATAACGGAGTGAACAGGACGATCGTGGAAATAATGGAGCAATCAGGATGACAGAGAGCGAAACAATTCGGAATTTGTTGCCCCTCGGGTGAGTCCTCTTTTCTTTCTTGTTTTTTGTTTTCGGCTCCCGCCAGAGTCGACTGGACGTAGCGGAAATTACAGCGTGCAACCCTTCGATTTCTTCCATCTCCGGCGCGGAGATGTGGTGAGAATCACGGTGTGAGCTTGTTCGCGTTCGCTCAGGTGGCCCGGGATAAACCACGGCGCCACAATCTAAGGAAACGATAACGAAACGATCGGCGTGTTTTACCGGTGAAATTCGTGCTTCGAGTTTTCTCTTTCGCACCCTCCTTTTATCGTTTTCTCGTGTCCGCACTCGCGTGCTCTGTCCAAGCTGTAAACCATTACACCGTGAACTATTCTATTCATCAGATAGTTCACATTCAACGTATTTCGTCACATACATAATAATTAATATTGTTAATCGTCCTATCAAAGCGTCAAGCGAATTCAATGCTATCATTTTACAGCATTGAAATCTTTTTATAATCTCTATGAATTAAGATAAGTATGCTTTTATAAAGAATACCAATTACATGATGTTTGATTTTTAAAGTATCCTACTTGGTACGTCCTGGATACCATCAATCGTTTCATTGAAGTCTGAAACGAGTTGAGGGCCATTACTCTGAAAATATTTCCAAGCAAGCGATCTTAGTAGCATCACTAATCATTTATCATCAAGGTATTCAGAGGACGAGTGCCCATGTACAAAGTCGAAGTTCGCGAAGACTCCAACTCGCCCCTAATAAATCAATATTGACAGGGACGTTATACTTCTTTCCTATCGTTCAGAAAATAACAAATTCCATCTGTATCGCGTTTTTGTCGATGTTCCCTGTTCGCTAGTGTTATTATATCTGCGAGCGGGGCAAATGAAATTTCGAGACGTGAAGATTCTTCCGATCTTGAACACGTTTTCATAATTCTCCTTCCCAAATTGAATTTGACTGTTTCGTTGCTTTTTCTGTTAATTAATCTCCAGAAGGAAAATTCCTGGGGAGACCTGAATGTAGAAATGAAAGGCAAAAGGTTATAAGACGGCGACAAGAGACGAACGTTTGCCAGCGAACTCGTATTAATATTCATAATTGCAACATCTGGCTGAAAACTCCAGTTGCCGGTGACAGTTCATAATAAATTACTGTCGTAAGATTATAGATAGATACTGGCAGTTTTTGCACATCCATCCAGTGAATAATTAATTTTCAACCCGGTCGAGAAGAAGATAAAGAGTAAAAGCTCCTCGATGTTCTAAGGACATCCAACCGGCAGAAGGGAGAAGAGGGCTCATCCGTTTGATACAAAAGAGAACCTCGCTAATTCTAGTTGGACCAACTCTCACGTCGTTTCGCATATAATTTGCAACTTCATTGCTTTCTCGTCTAACTTAACTTATTTGCATTTTACCGGGTTTGACTGCTCAAAACTAAATGCGCGAAAACATCTCGAACCGCTTTCGGTTACGTCGAAAAGTTCAATGTTTCGGTAACTTTTACCTGTACGTATACCGTTCCGTTTGCACCGCGCATACCGACATCTGTTCGAAAAGGATTTTTTTTAAAGCTTACGCGTGACCGACGATAAATCTAACTAGCTAGGAATCGTGCAATATCGCGCAGCCGAGGCTAAAGTTCCACGATTCATCTCTAACAGACAGCATGGGAAACGAACATTCATCATGGTTATTGAAAACCGTGTCGGCGACGAACGAAAACGCGTACAAACATCGTTCTCGATCAATATCACTCGCTCTCGATCCCGAGTAACGATTCTGAAAGTGTCGCAGCGGACTTGGCAACGACCCTTGCCAGCACTGAAAATATTTCGTTTTTTCCTCTCTCGCGGGCTAAACGGTCTCTGTACCCATACACAGGTTACAGCAGCCTGGCCTGTTTCATTAAGTCCCATTGTGTCCCGATGCTTTCGCTCGTTGGTTCATTTCGAGACGCGGCGCGACACGACGCGATTCAACGATCTCCCGTATGCCCTGAAATTTTCCTCTAATTGCAGACGAATTAATGTCACCAATTAATGTTGTATGAGCTCGCTTCACGGCGTTGATTGGCACGTTCACGTCCCTCGCGTCTGGCGATCGGTTCTGCAAAAAATGTGTCCGAATCATGCGTCTGCACAAATGCATTTCTTTCTGAAACATTATTCTTTTTCGAGTTTTCAAGTATATAAAAATGTTTAAACATTTTTCATTTAATTGCGTGAGAACAGATTACACGCTATAAAATTTAGATGAATAACGGACTAGGTATAAAAGACTTTGCAATTAACCTTTGGAAGGGTAACGATCAAAGTAAATTCGATATTTGGAAATGAAATGCAGTTTACTTTCTTTCTTCTCTTCTCGTGAACGCACTGGGACAATCACAAAGGTAGAACTCGGGGGCGAAATCGAATGAAATAGAATTAGATCTCGCCAGCTGAGAGCGGACGTTCGAATCGAAAACGAATTAAGAGAATTGGCTGCGTCGTCGTGGGATTTCTCGTTCCTTGCACTCGCCGTATAAGCGCACCACGCCGGTTCTACGCGAACGCCATTGATACGTGCTAGTGGCTTTCAAATGCCAATTGTCTACCACCGCGCAGTATAATGGGCGAGCTGAAATTAACTTGGCTCGAAACGAACAGTAAAATAAAAAAGCGTATTTTTCCCAACTATATTATCCAAAGATATTTCCAATTCCATGATTGTTCACCGAGTTTTTCTGGTGTCAGGAAACTCTTCTTTCTTCTTCGTACGGCACGTGTAAGTGCACCGTGGAGACTTTGATATCAGTTCGTATTAAATTCACCGTCGAATTCCCTGACCGCGTAGAAAGGAAATTGCGAATCTCGAATCGACCGGGCCACCGACACGGTCGTCAGGGGTTTAAGGGTCAGCGTGACGTCACAGAATGGACCGGAGCAAGACGATGGACGGGTGTACGATGAATAAATTACGAGGACAGTGACACGAAACCGGCTGAGATGAGTAGCCAAGATAGCGAGCCGCTCTATTTTTGAACCCGGTTGGTCCATCCTCCCTCGACTTGATCCACTTTCTCTATTCCCCACGCAATTACTTACCCCGAATCCTCAGACATGTCACGGGCAGCATCTTTATTTTCAAATGCAGTAAATGTTAATTCACTAAACAAACACATAGTTTTAATAAATAAACGCATGTTAATTATAATTTTCAGTTACACTGAGTTCTCTAATTCGAAGCGTGTTCACTTGAGTATCTGCTACAAGATTATGTTAACAAATTAATTATTTCAAATAAATTCACCCACTTTTCTAGGAAATGGGATCTTGAACACAAAACGTTTTACCATGCTTACAACAATGCTAAAGTTGAAGTATTCCATCTTCGTGAACGTCTCCAGCGTCTGATGCCGATTTATTTCGTTTACAAAACAGATCTCCAATCTCCATCTTGTCAGTCGTTGGGAATGCCTGTACACGAAGCGATGCCAGACTCCTGCAGTTCGGGTCTCCGAGACGAAGCAGCAGGCCAAGTTTGCCGGATATTCCAAGTAGATATTCCTTCCTGTGCGCGTCACGGTGGTCGGACTTGGTTCCCTTGCCATGCACGCTAAATCATTGTTAACGCGCCTGTCACGAGTGGTCCCCCAAAGTTATGGCATTCGATGCGCAGAGACGCCCGGCCGAGGTTCGTTACAATGTACGTGATCTTCATACGTGCATCGAGAGTGCCCGTTTCGAAGTTTCAGCGTGTCGCAACAGCAACGATGTTTCCCTGACTCTGAAGAGTATAGCTCTAGGGACTGCGGGATCGATCTCTCCGGGATGAGATGCGGAGACGTTGAGATGGGTACGCCGCGTCGCATCGGTTCAACGCACTTTCGCGGTGAAGAAAGTTCGCGACGCGCCGAGGGAGGATGCGTGAACGATGAAAAGAGCCTGTGTAGAGCGTTTACCGGTAGGAACCAGATCTGTTCCAGACACATACCAGTCTCTAGTCAACGGCAACACGTAAACCCCGCGGCTCGCGAACTTTCTTCTGTCATGGCGCATAATAATTTAGCCCATATTCATATTCATAAACGGCGCATGCATACTCGCGATAAATTTCCCCGCGGAACCGGTGCGGTGCAGCGCGGTGCTGCCGGAAAGTGTAAATTATTTCTCCGGCAAATTGAAAGCTGTTGCGGGAGGCACTCGGTCGCGCGTTCTGTGTATAGTAGAAAGCCGGCAGGCAAACGTGCAACGAATCGAGCCTTACGGTTCACGAGGGGGACTGTCGATTGCAGGTGGCCAGATGCTTGACCCAATGTCGACCGTTTACGACTACGCATTTACTTTTCCGTTTATCTCATCGCATCCAGCGACAGTTTTATTTCCGACACTTGAGTCGTAATCTTTTATGCCGGGAAATGTGAATTATTCGAACATTGATGTTCCAAAGTAATTACATCTTTCTTGCCTTCTGGCGTTCTCAAATGTCTTAAAGCGAAGGAAGTCAGGAAGAAATATAAGTTTTAATGTACGTTGATAATATTATTGTTCCAAATACCAGTTTTATAATAAAATATACAATAAAGAACTAATGCCATATTACAATTATTAACAAAATCGCCTGTTAATGAATTACGTATTCAGAAACCAAGGTCTCAATTGCTTGGTCAGGGTTTCAAGGGTGGTTCATCGATTGCCCTAAAACCAAACACGGATCGAGCCTCGCTAACCGGAGGGGTTGATCTTCCGTTATGCTTTTCCTTTTTAGCGTGGGGCTTGCACTTGCAACTACTTTTTCCAGGCTCCCGCGTTCCTCTTGTTTCCACGACAGCCAACGACCCGAAGTATCTCGTCTCGAATTCCAGCGAACTTTTCTCGAGGCATATAGGTGATCGCTGGTCTCGGGGATCCAATAAATCGCGGCTGTTCTACCACCCTTAGGCGCACCCTCTATCTTCTTTCTACTTGTAGCTTATTTGCACTCCGCTTCCTCTTTGCCCGTTCGCTTCTTCTCCACTCTGTGCTTGTGGCTCGATTGTATCCACCCACTCTGGTCTTTCCTCTCTCTCCTTTCTTGCTTCTTCGTCTCCGCTTTCGTCTACTAGTCTACGCAGTCAGACTCCGTCGACGAACGGGCTGGCGTCTCTCTTTAAGATAAGCAAAAAGATGCGATACGAAAAATTCATTGGTAAGAGAGTGAAGGAGCTGGCGAGAGTTGTATCTAGGATAAAACGTGGAACGAAGATGGAAAATGCGTGGGAGAAACAGAGGCGAGAAAAAGCTTAAAAGAATCTAGTTTGAACGGAAGACGCTGAGAAGAAAGATAGGTACGGGAGAGCTTGCAGCAGGATAGAAAAAATATAGGAGGAGAGGAAACGATGAAACGGGTTGGAAGGTCGACGATAGAACTTTGTAGGAAATTCGAGGGAACCGATAGGGTAAAAGGATTCTCTGAAAGTACTGAGTATTTGAAGGTAAATAGTTCGTCAAAGAATTCTGTGGAAAAGAACAAAAGAAAGATGTGTAAAGGTTTAATAGCCAAAGCAATTGGAACTTCAATTACGAGAAGAATAATAAAGAAAATGCAGTTGGCGCAGGATGAAGAAAAGGAGAAGGTCAAAGAGCAAGAAACGCGCGAAAAATTCAAATATGGGTGAGGGAAGACAACTCGACGAACAAGGGGTAGGATGAGTAAGAAACGGAGCAAAGGGTGAAGGAGAACGGAAGAGGACCGATGGGTGAACCGTCGAGTCGGTGGGAACGAGAACGAGGAGGGAAAATGTCTGGAGGGGTTGCGATGGAAGGAATCGGAAAAGGGTGGAAAGAGAAGGCTGACCGATGAGCGGAGCAACGAAGAGGGGTTGCGAACGGGACTGGGAGTGGGGAGGAGAATCAGCGCACAGAGTTAGTACAGCTGCACCCACCGCGGCAGTTAGTCGTTCGCGCATCGTCGTTCGGCGAGGGTGTTCTGTCACAATTCGTTCGATTCCTGTAATTAGTACTGAATCATCAAATCGTCATTCGTCGATCAGCTGATTTTTGATCAACGCGTGCATCGACCTACAGCATCTCTGACTACGTGTTTACGGACGACGGTCATTGACGTCCCTCAACCTTCCCCATCTGCAATCATTGGTGAGTCAAGTTGAGGTTTCTTAAATTTTAATAGTTTACGCGTAGTGTTTCGAACGTTGGGAGCGTATGGGATAGCGTTTTTAAGGTTTTAAGCGTCGCAGCGCAGCGTGACGGGCTAAGAGTATAAGTAGAGAACAAAGACGCGCGGACGCGACGTGTTTTGATTCAACATCAGGTAGGGGGTATATTTTGATTACACCGCACTCCGGGCTCGTGTTTGAAAATGAATTATCGCGAAGCGCTAGACCACTGACGGAATGGATTGAAAGTTACTGACAACATGTTTGTCCTTGTTCGGAGCTGCGAACACGAATCTTCGATGTGATCTGTTTTTTCCCTCGTTTTTCATCGGCGTACGAGAAAAGCAATCGATACTCGATTCTCGAGATGTAACCAAGGACGCGTGGCGGCTTATCCGCAGCGACGCGACGAGCTACGAATGAATGAATACGTGCACCATGCAACTTAGCGTCACGGTCTTTTTATATCATAGCTTTAGCTTACCCTCGTTTCACGAATAAATTCATCTTATCAATGAGCAGCATGCTACGTAAAATAATTAAGCTAAGTAAACAAAGTTCATCAGGATACTTTTAAAAGAACGGAATTAAAAACAATGGAGCAATTTAAGATGTGCCGCGTTATAGACCAGCGTTGTCGTAACAATTTTCCGAAACGTCTCTCTACGCTGTTTGCAATCCCTTTTATGACACGAACCGGGGTATAATTCCCCCTATCGCGCCACGCCGCTGGTTCTTTACAGTCTCTGTAGAATTGCACCCCCCCCCGTCTCTTTCCCAGCGGCGAAACTTCGTTTGTATGCGTATACGTGCTCGCGTTTGTGTTCGTACTGGCGAGACGTGTCCAGGAAACGTTCGGAATTGATGCGCGAAATTTCGTTTCGTAGCAGCTCATAAAAGTTATTGTAATTTGTGCAAGTTCGCGGCCACGTGCAGTTCCTCAACTAATGAACGATTTCTGTGTAGTCGGGTCAAACGTAACTCTGTTTCCCGAGTTGAAGACACAAAAGCGCTCGTTTAATTGTTTCATACGCACGCGTGCAACGTATTACATACAATGCTCATTGCCTTCATTCATTGTTACATAGTCTCTTTCTCTCCCGTTGTTGTTTATTCATAACGACGAATAGTTTATGTATGCTTATGCGAGGATATTTCCTTATTTCGTTATCCGAGGGCATTTACATAGGAAGAAAGGGGTGGATCGCGCAACGAACTACTATGCTTGTTATTAATTATATAACTAAACGCGAATTCATCCGCGCTACCATTCTAACTTGTACAAATTTGCGGACGCATTAGTTCCAGGTCATATATCTCGTTTGTATTTGAATGTATCGCCACGGAGAAAAGGGGCGTCATTTTAACTAGCCGATGTTCATTCACTTGAAACTAACGGCTTGTCCGTGTAAATTTTCTCTGTTGCCGATACGTTCTCGCGTTAGGACACTTATTTTCCGTCGTAAGTGCTAGTAGTTCGCAATCACTGTTCAGTATTCAGGAATATGCTCACGCAGTTAACCGAGCAACTGTTATCGTTTTGACTCTGTGGCAGAATCATGACAAAATTTTAATGCAAGAGAACCTTGTCCTGTTGTCAGACAATTTTTATTCGTTCGTGTACGACGCCGAAAGTATGATAGAAAGCTATTATCGCGGGTATAAAAATTTCTGCAACAGCGGTTCTTCAATAAGACGTGAGGCGCCATAACTGGTTGACCTGAGGTCGTAAAGATATCTCGGAATAAAAAGACGTTGAGGACGAGGAATTTTTTATTACTTTCATACAATCGAGGGTAATAAAACAGAAAATAGGATTCTCCCTTTCTTCACGGATAGGCGTATGTATTTGAAAAATTTCTCGTTGAACAATTTAAGCTTCAATTCATTCTTAAGTTCAGTGATCAATCCTCGTTAAGATAAATAATCTTTGTGAGGTATACACGTGCCGCTTGATTATCTTGACAAAGAAAGCGATCGCTGTATTAAGCAGAAGGCGTGCGCGCGTGGGGGGCCTCTTCTTTCCCATGGTCAGGCTTGTAATCAGACGCAGTGGAAAGAGTTTTCACGTTTTATGTAACCCAGGGATCCACGAAAACGTGTACGAAGGGTCTAATGAACGGTCCGTACGCGGGTCGAATCGGAAAGTGGAGTTCAGGTTGGTTGTCGCCCTCCTCGTGGAAATTGTTCCTGAGTTATACCGCGTTCAACTATCTCTCCTACCGTACCGGTCCACGAGATCTATGTACCTTGAACTTTTCGAAGTTTCCGGCCCGACAGAGGGGAAGCGTGACGTGGTGAACAAGAAGTGGCGATCAATCAGCATTAAGGTCGTCGCTGTTTGATGAAACGGTGCAAATGAACACGTCTCAGACAAAGTAGCGATGTAGATTTCGCGGACGTCGGATCAAAAGCAAACGGCCAACTTCCTGCAACTCCGTGTGTTAACTCAAAAAACTGTGATGAAACTAGAGCATGTGACAAGATTACTATAGATTTATAGGTCGCTTTTCAGTCGTTGGTAGCTAACAGTCGCAGCTAAATTCTTTTTGTTCCTTTGATATTCCAATCCCGTATCACTCTACGTGGAATAGCTTTCTTTTCCGCTTTCCCACATTTGATTAACCCCTCGAGCAAGGAAAACTCGTACGCCCCGTCACAGGATTTAAAATCCCTGCTCAGTTGCGTTTTGAAATTATTGAATTTCGTACAACTAGTATTTGGTATTTAAAGATCCTCGTTCGATATTGCGCAGAAATTCTTACTACGGGCGAAAGGTTAATTTAATTTTGTTTAATTCAATTATTTTGTTATCAGCGTACGCGAGCGTGACATATTAATATTATAACGCCGAAGGTAGAGAAGGGCTGGTATCTGTGTGGAAAATGAACGCGTTTCCGTAACGAACGCTTCGGGATATACCGCGCAACTCACTCTTATTACGGGAAATTGAATTTTTTAAATATCCAATGTGGAACGTTACAAACTGACGGACACGGAACGTTTCTTCCTCATTCTCTTCTAACTACGGTTATTTTTATCGCCGCTTACCCTTTCGTTCGTTTTCATTATTCCACGCCCCATCGTGCAATTTCAAAGATAAATAAAATAAATACTCGTTAAGTCGATTTTCATCGCTACATGAATTTTAACGACGAGTCGCGAGCATTAAAACACGGAATACAAATTCAAAACAAATGGTGGCTTCTAATGTTTTCTTTTCATCTTTATTCAAATTGCGTCACGTTTGCACGCTGAGCCACGGCTAATTCTGAATAATTTTTCAGTTAAAAAAAGAAATGAACGGTGAAAAGTATTTACGCTTGTACGCGTTGGACATCGACAAATGAAGATGTAAGATAATTTCAGAATTATGCACAGAATTCAAGAACATTTATTTCTTTTTAACCGATCGTGAGCCATTCTGATTGTACTAACGTTCATCGCTTTTCCAACCGGATGATTTCAGCTTTCCTATTCAGAAGGCTTTCCGTTGCGATTAACTGCTTAAGTTCATTAATTCTCTCATAGACTTATTCACTTATATTATATCTTTGCAGTTTTAATTAAAGCATCGCTCGACGATTAATGATGAAAAAATCGTGTTAGTTGTAAGAATTTTCATATATATTATAGCGTTAAAACGTCGATCAATAGTATGACTACCCCAGCATTTTACGTGGTTAAATTACGTTTATACTCGTTTTTTTTTTAAGTCCACGGAACGGATGAACATGACATTTAATACATTTTATGTGGCCAGCAAAAGCTATTTTGTTCTCATGCTATTTCCAGTAAAAAATTCGAACATGTATACACATACTGTGCGAGTGTGTTAACATCATATGACTCGTTTCTCTGAACGTTCCACTTGCACAAAAGAAGATCCGTTTCGCTTTTTCCGTTTGTACATCATTTCTACATGAAAACCACACGAATAAGGAAAAACGATGAGCAAATTTATGTTGATTTTTCGTTCTCGATCGAAGGAAATGTAGCGCAATGTGATACATGTAACAAAATCAATTTCTGATGATCTCCAAAAATTGTAGTTTCTTAAAATCTGAAATATACTTGTATATTTGTTGATTATAAGACATAAATTATACTTAGTATTGCTGTAGAAATCCAACGAAATGTGTTGCAAAATATAATGAAAGAATTACTCGAGACAACGAAGACAAAACTGTTCTCACCATATTCTCAACGTTAATGTTATAAAGTGTCATTAAGGGTGCTCTAGGCAGGAAGTCCGATACACTCGACTGAGCACATCCAAGAGTGATGGAGAACACGGGGGTTAGCGGGGTGAAAAATAATTTGTCAGTAGGGTTGAAAAAAACAGTCGGATGAAGTTCGAGTGCTCGCGGGGTCGAAAGTATGCGACAGTTGTGAAAAAGAGCCGTGGAATAAGAAACGAATGCAAAGTACCAGCGAAACGAGAGTCGTATCCAAAGATTTACCGTGCAGAAGCCCTCGCTTGCTGTCCGCGTTTGTCTGTTTGTCCGACCTCTTGACGATCCCCTCCCGCCTTGCCCCTTTTCTTTTTTCCCCGGAGGCGTACATTTATGTTATGCAAATGCGATTCTCTTGGCTCGGAGGGAGGACTATAAGAGCAAGGGTGGGTAGAAAGGGAAGGCGAAAAAGATAAAGGTATACAGTGGCACCGTTGGCGAGAAGGAAATAAAATTCATGAGTGATAGTTTGACTTATTCCGAGATTTTTCAGCGTTACATTTCCTACGGAAATTTGTTCTCAAGGCGAGAGAGGAGTATCTTGTACTCTCACCCTCTCAATTTTCCTCAAGCAGCACTCGTTTTAATGCCGTGATCCTTCACGATAAGCATCCCTTCTCCTTTACCTATGTATTTATTTATTCTAGTATATACTTCCCGTTGATGCCTCCAATAGATGAATCAAACTTTTTTATCTTAATTTTATGATCAACGGAGTGGCAGCTTTCAGGAATATGAAATATAT